GAAAGTCTAAAAAATGGGTATTGATTAGCTCAGGGATCCTACACAGTTGGCTGTAAAGCCTTTACCAAGTACCTCTCCACATGATCCCCTGGCACTTCAGGTTGGAAGAAGGCATGGCTGACAGCTACCCACATGACCTTTCCAATTTGTTCATTCTACAAACATTTATTAAGAACCAAGTATGAGTCAAGGACTGACTTCTAGACAATTAGAGTACAAAAATGAACGGTCTTTACTTTCTTGGGTCCTAGTCTAGTAGAGGAGAGAGACATGAAACAATTAATAATATTGCAGTGACAAGGGAGTGGTTTTGTACAAAATATTGAGAGAGATGAGAGGATGGTGGTGGTTGGAGGGTAGTATCCCTGATTAGCTCCCACTGCTCCCTGGGACCCCTGGGTTTCAGAAATAAAGAGTATCTCCTCCTTGTAAAAGTGTCTGAGCTCTCTCAGTGGTTCTTCGAGCATGTCTTTGAGGACACTTGGGGAGGTGCTTATCATTCCAGCAGTTTTCAGGAGGAAGGAGGGGGGACTTCCGGGGTTATGGTCAGCTTCTTGTTCCCCTTTTTATGAGTCATAGAAGGCCCAAGATGCCAGAATTGACCTGATTCTCTCTCTTGCTCTTTCCACAGCTAATGTGACTCTGGATCCAGACACTGCCTACTTTGAACTCTGTGTCTGAAGATCACCGAAGTGTGAAGCGGAAAAACACACGACAGGGTCTGCCTGAAAAACCTGGGAGATTTTTTCTTGACCCTTGTGTGCTGGGCCATGAGGCCTTCTCTTCGGGGAGACATTACTGGGAAGTAGAAGCGGGAGATAGGGCTTACTGGGAACTTGGAGTTTGTGAAGAAAATATACAAAGGACACAGGGAATCACAGAGTCATGTCAAAATGGACTCTGGGCTGTGGAACGATATGCTAACAAGTATCAGGCCCTCACCTCTCCTTGGACCCTCCTCATACTGAGCAAGCCCCCTAACCGGGTGGGGATCTTGGACTATGAGGCTGGGGATGTCTCCTTCTACAATGTGTCAGATAAATCCCACATCTTCACTTTTCCCCAGACCTCTTTCTCGGGGGCCCTCCGGCCTTTCTTCTGTCTCTGGTTCTATCACCCAACCCCTCTGACCATCTGCCACTGAGGCCATCAGGGCACCTGCTTTCTCTCAGTTGAACCTCCGGGGAAGAGCTCAGGACTAGGGTTGAGGAGCTGCTTCTAGGGACAACTGCCCCGGGACTCCCACGCTAACCAGTGGTGAAGGCCATGCCCCCCGATCTCCTGCTCTCAGAGCTGCAGATGTTCCTTTCCCAGGTTTCCATGGGGTTAGACAAAGGCTGAGGATAGTTTATGATGCTTCAGCACTGAGTGGTACAGAGAGCCAAGAAAAGATAGATGTAACACTACTGAGTCTTGCTGGGACATGAGTGCATCTGGTATCACTACCCCGGCTGGAAACTGAAAAAGGAAGCTTGAGGGAAAGCAGAGATGAGAAATAGAGATGGAAAGACTAGAGGAACTGAGAGTAATCTCTGACCTTGATCTTCTCCCAATGTCATGAAGAAAAGAAAGGCAAGTGCCCCACTAGCAGTGAGAGTCTTTAACAGGTCTTCGTAATAAGAACAACAGGAGCTGTATCTGGATGGCGCTTTACCATTTTCACAATCTTTTCATACAAGGACTTTATTTCATTTGGCCCCACATGGAACTCTGGGAGATACTAAACAAAACACATAGAGAAGAGGCACTTCCCCAGGGTCATTCTGCAGATCTGGAACTTGACTTTATATCTAATATTCTTAAATCTAATGTTGCATCATATCACAACTCATAATCCAATAACTCCTTTAGTAAGCAACTTCAATCACCCTTGCATCACTTTCAACCTAGCTTTTTCAAAATTTCTTTTCTAGTTTGTAGGTTTGTTTACTTACCCTTTTCCTTAAATAGCTTCCAGCCTTTAAAAATATTTTGCTTCACCAGCAATTAAGTGCATATTTGCTAGTTTTTTTTCTATGCTTATAACAAACACTAACACATACAATTTTTTTCTAATGAAAATTGGACCTTCCTATATATTTTGTAAGGAGCCCTGGTGGCACAATGGTTAAGGGCTCAGTCACTAACAAAAAGGTTGGTAGTTTGAACACACCAGCTGCTCCACAGGAGAAAAACCTGCTTCTTAAAGGTTGCAGCCTAGGAAATCCTATGGGGCAGTTCTGCTCTGTCACACGGAGCCTCTATGAGTCAAAATCAACTCACCGGCACATAACAACAACAACATATATACTGTTCCATGACATGCTTCTTTCACTTAACACTAAATGTTAAAACACTAACCTCATGTTATTCATAAGATAGTCTTCTTTCTCCCCCATTTCAAACAATGCTGTTATAAACATCATTTCAAATAATGCTGCTATAAACATCTTTGCGTGTAAATCATTGCGTATAGCTCTTATCACTTTCGTAGAATAAATTTCTGAGTTGAGTTTGTCCTTAGGATAAATTCTTGAAAGTGCAATTGCTGTTAAAAAAAAAAAGGGGGGGGGGTGGGGTGGGGGGGGGGAGTCTTAATTGCTATCAAATATATGTACATAAGTACGTATTTCCTGGATGGTTCAAACAGTTAATGCTCTCAGCTGCTAACCGAAAGACTGGAGGTTCAAGTCCACCCAGAAACACCTCGGAAGAAAGGTCTAGCAGTCTACTTCTAAAAAATCAGCCATAGAAAACTCTACAGAGCACACACAATTCTACTTATGGCGTTACAATGAGTCAAAGTTGATGCGAAGGCAAGTGGTTATATATTTCCCAAAGAAAGAAATCTCTTTGCACACATTTTGGTCTTCAGGGTCATCTCCTAAGGTTAACAGTAGAAGCCTACCCTTCAATTCCACATTCCTTCTGCATTAATCTCAGGCATCTCACCCTTCTTAAGGAAAAACTCCAGCCTATCAACCTCTACTTTTTACTTAGCATATATTTTTTATGGCTCACTCTATGTGAGGCAGTCTTGTAAGCAAATTGTCTGTATTAGTTCATTCCATCCTCACAACGCAATCCAGAGGTAGGTACTATTATTATCCTTATTTTACAGATAAGTAAACGGAGTCACAGAGAGGTTAAGTAACTCTCCCAAGGTCACACAGCTCGTAAAGCTTATCCAGATAACCTGACTTCAGAGTCTGTCCATTATGCAACTTCTTCTCACCAGTTTCGAACTTCAGTACCTCATACCTACTAGACAATAGGTTCTCAGTAAAAATTTATATTGAATCAATTAACTCTTTCCTGGCCCACTTTACATCCATTTCTCTCCCAAGGCTTCATATAAAGGATCAGCATCAGGTCTGGATTGGCAAGTGAAACCAGGGCCCTGTTTCCTTGGAAACTACAAAGTTAAGAGAGAGCGAAATATTGTGTCTAGAAAATCCCTTATCTGGAGCTCAGCATCTAGGTTAGAAATAGAGGCTGCTTCTCTGTGCCAAAGTGACTTCAATCCTCCAGAAAAGAGTTTCATTCTTACTGATATGATTTCAAACGGCATAATTTCTGAGAGAATGTGAATTTTAAAAACTGTCTTTGTGAGTAAGAAAGCAGTAGTCAAGAAGCAGTAGGTTTGCAGCTGCAGTGTAAATTTGGGAGAAGTATTGTTTCCTGTTAACTTTGCAACTGGCTTCACCCATGTCTGGTATCCTGGCATGATGATGGGGGCAAAAGATGTTGTGAAGACAATGTTTTGTCTGAAGTGTGTCCAGAAGTCATGCAGGATTCAGAGAGCCAGCTGCTCAGATCCCTGTGCCCCTTGTCCTCACCCCACCCTTCCCCCTCTGCTGACCTTACTCTCAAAGGCAGTTCCCAGACTCAGGTACCCACAGCAGCAGGTACTATGTCTACAGGCCTCATGCTGGTTTGTTTTGGTGGTGGTGGTGGTGGGGGGGGTGCAATGTGAGGGAATTTGTACTTACTGAGCAACTAATATGTTCCAGAAGCTATAACTACTCACAACAATTTTAATTAAAAATTTGTATAACACATGAAAACATTTTTTATTCAAAAGATTCAAATAATTTTAAAAGACAAAAGTGTTCTTTCGCTCATCGAAGTTTCAATCCTCAGCTGAGTGTCTCTTTTTAGACGGCAATTACATACATAGATATGTACACGTCTATGGCTTTGTTTTTAAATGGAATCGTTATTATTGTTTTGCAGTGTGCTTTTGTTTCGCTGAGTAATACGTTATGATTATCTAGGTTAGTGAATATAAATTACTCGTTTTAACCGAGCATTGAATTCCGTCACACAGATGAACCATCATTTATGTAACCAGTCTCCTACGGGTGGCCGTTAGGTTGGTGATACTTTCTTTACTTTTAAAAATTACCCTGCAGTGTCATTCTTACACGTGTTTCTCTCTGCACCTGTGCAAGGGCTTTGCTGGACCAGATATCTGGAAGTGGAATTGGTGGACCGATTATGCACTTTCTAATTTTCATATTTCACGATGTTTTCCAAGTGACTAAAATTCAAATTTTTGTCACATAACACATAGTGGGCCTGGCACATGGTGTGTCCTCGGTAAATATTTGTTTAATGAATAAATGAAAAGACGGGCAAGGCCTGGTCTTATTCCTAATTCTCCGTTCACTAACCAGTTAAGAAAACAAGTTGCCATGGAGTCTTTCCGACTTATGGCGACCCCATGTGTGTCAGAGTAGAACTGTGCCCCACAGGGTTTTCAATGGCTGATTTTTCGGAAATAGAGCTCCAGGCCTTTCTTTCAAGGCCCCTCCGGGTGGACTAGAACCTACAGTCTTTAAATGAGCAGCCAAGCTCGCTTTAACCACTTGCACCACCCAGGGACTCCTATTCTACCTAGTAACTGGTGAGAAAATAGGCTCAAGGATACAATTGGCTGACTGTTCCATAGCCGGCCAATCATGGTCTGTACAGTACTCATTGGCAATCTTGGGACTTTGTGGTCACAGAGGGGACCTGCCCGCAGCTCCCACACCGCCACTAATGGGAAGCCAAGTAAAGTTTTCTCTCTGCTTTCGGGACGATTTTTTCTTTGGTTGTGACTGTGCCCATGAGTGGGTTGGAGGGAAAAGGGACGACCGAAAAATCATCATTTGAGGGAAAGACGAGAAAAGAGAACACAGGAGCCAATTCTAGAAGGTAAGAAAGGGAAGAGAAGCTGTACAGCTCTGGGGAGGGACGGGTGGTGGTGGTGGTAGGTTGGGGGACCGTAATCTAATATGCAGGAAAGACTGGGTCTCCGGAGAGGGGAAGCCCGCTGGTAGGGAGGCGCTGCCCCGCCTGTCTTTACCTCGGGTCATATAGTAGT